TGAGAGTGGGGTGATGGTGAGAGGGAGGGGAGTAATGTGAGAGGGAGGGGGGTGATGAGAGGGAGAGGGTGATGGTGAGAGGGAGGGGTGATGGTAGGGGGGTAATGAGAGGGAGAGTGGGGTGATGGTGAGAGGGAAGGGGATGATGGTGAGAGGGAGGGGTTGAGAGGGAAGGGGGTTGATTGAAAGGCTGTTGCTGGGAGGTCAGGTAGCCATTTTTTTGGCCTCTTGCTCTTGCAGCAAGGTCTGCCGCTTAATAGCGGGAGCGGAGCTTGTGGGAAGTGGGGCTTGCAGATGTGGGTGGAGCTTCCATCGTGAGGCGTGGCCTACACCCGCGAAGCAGAGCAGGAGCCTGTGTGCCGGGGGAGCTGCTGGGAATTCGGAAGGGAGACTGTCGTTGTTCCCTCTGGCCTCCAGCAGCCTCAATGCAGCCCCCAGCAGCTCTCTTCTGAAAATAATAAAAGCACATGGCCCATCAAGCTGCCAGGACTGCCCAGAGAGAGTGAATTGCCCAGGACAGACTTCAGCTTGTCGGGACTGTCCTGGCGAAAACTGAACAGTTGGCAACTATGCATTACAACACCTTGATTCTGATCAGCAATTCTGTTATAGATTTGCCTTTTATAGAGGTGGCTTTGGCTTTTATAGAGGTGGTCACACTTGCTGATAATCAATTAATCAAGGGCATTTGGTTAGCAGCACCTGTCTGCTACTTAGCCGCTTAATTCCTATGGAAGCAGTATGGGTGTTTTCACCCAAGGCTTTTTTTTTGCTAACGAAATTTTCCTAAGGAACGGATGATTGTTATTATGTCCTGATTTGTAAAACCATAGAATTCAAAGAAGGCGTACTTTCTTTTTTCCCATGACTGTGTATATATATATATATTTATTAATTTAGGGAAATTTCTCTCTTTTTCAATCTGGCTTAGTTTAGACACTACTGTTACCTGACCAACTGCTGCTAAACCTAACTTGCATTCTGCTGCAGGTTCACACACAGCACTTGCAGCAGCAGTTGGTCAGGTAACAGTAGCGTCGCACAGTATGGCTCCTCAATGAGATGAAAAAATGTAAAGTTTTCTCAAAAATTGATATGCATAATTTAAAAAAATATACCATTATGTAATAAACTTTGAAACAAAAGTAAAAATGTGATGGCCCTTGTCCTTCAATGAAATTCCTTTAACCTTAAAGCTGGCAAAGCATTATGGGAGTTTTACTTCTACAACACCTGGGGTATAGATTTTGGTCACCACTGACATACAGAATTTTTTATATGGTTATTTAATTGTTCTGAGTGTACACAGGTACTTCAAAGATACTGACATTTGTAACCAAATCCTAAAATAGATGTGGCATTGCTCATAAAATAACTGCTGTCTGCTTCACACATAATTACGGCACCTTACCAATTGAGTCTAAGTAACCATATGATGTCCATTGCACATAATTGAGTCAGACCTTTTAATGAGTCAAGTACCGGCAACTGTTTGCTTCAGTGCTAAAATTCTGTATCAGATTGTTAATGGCACTTATGGATTCAGTCTGTTATTAAATACAGTCAAACTTCTAATCATGTCTGTTCCTGATTCAGAAATTGGCAGTACTTGTCACTTACCTTAGCCAGTGTAATTTTAGCAGATACGCAGAGAGAGCAGGCCTCGCTATAATATCTATAGAAGAAGAATTTCTTGTCAAAATGTCATTGACTGCTCCTCATGGCTGCTGTTTGTGAAAAAGATCAAGGCAAGATTGTCCCTGGGTGTAAAGTGGCTCTGTCATTGTCATGGGTCCTACCATTATTTAAAAAGACCCCCGACTGTGGGGCAATAGAAGATGAGTTTTAGTTTCTGAACCTGTGCCATGCAGGTGCCATCACCTTGTTATACCGTATCTTCTTCAGCTCCTGGCCTTTCTGTTGCTAGAAGCCAATGTCAGCGCTGTACACTTGCACGTGTGCGGAAGTACAGCGCTGAAGTCTATGGAGGATCTCAAAGGTCAGAGCTTCTTTCCCTAGAGCCATCACCAATGAACTGGCAAGCTTGATAAAGGGAATTTTTGTCAAGTGGAGGAAAAATACAGAGACAAAGTTGTCCCCACTTCCTATATACTGTCTTAGTATATCTTTTGAGTGGGTTGGAATCTCAGAATTTCTGATTGATTATCATGCCAATATGTAAAAATGGATGTCACTAATATACCTGGAAATAAAAAAATGTATCTGCATATGAGATTATAAATATATTATAATATCTTATTATGGAAGATATGTGATTTGTTTTAGTCCAGAATTATATACTACTACATTCATAAGAGGAACATTCCGTGCACCATAATCACTTCACTGCACTGACACTCAGCCAACGTGCTGGCCTCATACTGCAGGGCTTAGCTCAATGGAGCCAAGGGAAGCACCATGAAGGTGCTTCTGTCTCGCCTGCAGTCTGGACTGCACCAGGCGGACCCCCAGGCAATTTGTCAAACAATTTGTAAACGGATCGATTACTTACCCAGGGAGTGCCAGGGAATTACTGGCATAATAACCACAGCATGCTCGGAGTGTTCCTTTAAACTGTGACCCCCATGTTGATTGCCTCCAGGACATATCCTACACCCTCCATAATTAAGAGTTCATAGTTAGCTTATTTATGGCACTCCACTTACATCATCTTCTAAGCAAAGTCAAGTGCCTAAAATCATCTATCATTTCAGACTTCTCTAAAATCTGAAATATTACCTCAAATGGCTACTTGAAATGTTATTGCCATTTGAAAAATTCAAGGGCTGAGGCATTTTTCTTCTCACCAATCTTAAATAATTTAGGATATTTAAGTGGGTGAGACCCAAGAGTGCAGCTAATATAATCGTAATGAAAATACTATCAATAAAAGTTATAGCATTGGTACCACATTCTACATTATATTACATTTTGTTGATAGGCTGAAATTTCAGCGTGGACAGCTAATAATTACAAGACGTCAAATTGGCTCATGGAAATGGTGGCATATTTTGGAAGACAATTTAGACAAGTGGAAGTTACAGGAAATTCTTTAATGCTTGATTTTATTTGACTTCATTTTCACACATAGGTTTTAAGCACTCCAATGACAATATGACATCATTGAATCTGCTCTTCAGGGCCTTACCTGATGCTTTAATGTCCCTATCCCCACTTCAATAGATCCTCCCTTTTCCAATAAATTTTTAACAAAATCCAAAGTTTTACTTACCTTGGCAATGCTTATCTCTCCTCTTCCCACAATGTCATTGGGCACTGAATCAATGTTTTCCTATGGGGTCTTTCATGTAATTTGACTGTGTTTTACTCAGTCATGCTTCTAGTGACGGTCAAGAAGACAGAAGTGGAGTAACATTGCAATTTCTAAAAACAACCACTGCATTGAGATGAAGAGGCCTGGGTGACTTTAGTGGTGCCTTAATAAAGGACCATCAGTAGATAAAGTTTCTCTAAGGGTTTGATTAATTAAAAAATTAACTTGTTGGTCTTAAAAAGAGTAAAACTATACAGTCATAACAGGGTTTAAAGGGACCAAAGCCCCGGGACCTGACGGATTTGATGGCGCCTACTACAAAACCTTTAAAGAAGAGCTCACGCCCCATCTAACTAAAATGTACAAACAATGGACAGAAGGAGAGGCACTTAATCAAGACCTTTTGACAGCGGACATAACCCTTATCCCCAAACCAGACAGAGACAACACACATTTAGCCAACTACCTCCCCATATGCCTCATAAACTTCGACCTAAAGTATACGCCAAACTGCTAGCCAACCGACTGAACCCACTTCTTACCAGATACATACACGCGGACCAAGTGGGCTTTGTCTCCATGATACAGCTATACGAGAACACGAGGACTACCCAACCTCCACACTTACTACCTATCGGCACAATTAGCACAAATTATAGAGTGGCACTCACCGCCGGATACCCACAGGTGGCTTGACCTAGAAACACTATTTACGTGCACAGATCTCCCACAATTTTGGATATGGGTCCCCAAAACTGATAGACCAATGCTCCGCACAACCTGCCCAACAATCTTGAACTCGATCAGGATATGGGATTCTACAGCCCACAAATATGCACTTACCCATCCAATATCACCACTCACACCATACCTTTGCAATAACGCATTTCCACCTGGGCTAACAGCTAGGGACTTCAGGGGCATTGAAAACACGGGCATACAACGATACCACCACTTATACCAAGCAGGCACACTCAGAACTAACCACCAAGGACCACTTTAGGTACATCCAACTATGGGATTTTGACGGACGTACACAAGTACGGACCGCTGCCAAAGCCAAACGAACTTTTTATGAAACACTATGCATGACTAGCGGACCACGTACCGGCCTCATCACACTCCTATATACACAACTATGCGCACCAACAGATAAGGCCCACAACCCCTACGTATGTCACATAGTGGGAAACTGACCTACAACAAATGTTAGAGGGTGGAGAGTGGCAAGATATATGGGAGGCTGCAACTAAAGCATCAATATGGGTGCTACACCAAGAACAGTGTTACAAAACACTTATGATGTGGTACACCACCCCAGTCAAGTTGTACCGAATGGGCAAAACACCCAAAGACACATGCTGGAGAGACTGTGGAGAGAAAGGTACATATGTACACATGTGGTGGACCTGCCCAGAAGCAGCGACCTTTTGGGAGGATGTAGCCAGACTATTGACAGCAGTACTATGCAGACCAATAACACCAGACCCCTGGACATTCTTAATAGCTAGACCTGTTGACGATCTATGGTTTGGGGATAAGGGTTATGTCCGCTGTCGAAAGGTCTTGGTTAAGTGCCTCTCCTTCTGTCCATTGTTTGTACATTTTAGTTAGATGGGGCGTGAGCTCTTCTTTAAAGGTTTTGTAGCAGGCGCCATCAAATCCGTCAGGTCCCGGGGCTTTGGTCCCTTTAAACCCTGTTATGACTGTATAGTTTTACTCTTTTTAAAAAAAAAAATCTTTATTTTGGTTGTGCAGGTGGTTACAGATTAACAGATGCCACAACAGCGTATTTCAAGATGAACAGTAGTTTCGTAGTGGCATAGAGATTAGCACATTTTTTTTTTTTTTTTACTTGACTAAACGGTTATGTCGTCGAAATATGTTTAACTAGCATAAAATAAAACAAAATAATCAATGCTTAACGTTGAGTATGTTGACATTTGTGGTAGGCATACTGATGAACACATAGAGCTTAAGCTTCGCCAATGAAACCGTACAAGTGCTGTCTCACATAAGATAAGATCAGGAGTTCTTAAGAAAATATCGAGCTGTTATCAGCTTTGAATGACATGCTGGGATACTTAGTACGGTTAACTAAGGTAGCAAATTCTCTTAATAGTCGCCATAGGGATGTCGTTAGGCTTGGTCATTGTCCTATGGCACTGGGGAAGCCCCCTTTCCCTGTAATTGGCTACAACCTGGTTTTGCTAGTAGGTTTGTGGGTCTAAGCTTCCCCTAAGTTTCCATTGGGCTGCAAATCGTAGGAACCAGTTCAATTTGCACTTAAACAAGATCCTGATACAAGCAGATTATACACGTGTAAGTAGTACAGGTTGGGGTGCGTCGCCTATGGGTCGGCACAGGGTGAAACGCTTAGCGTGTACAGGCTTGTGTATGTTAAGTTAAACTAAACTAGGCTGACAAACAAACAAACGGCTAGGCAAAATTATGGATATTAATAGTAATATCAATACCAATACGCAGGAATGTGCATGTCTACAGGTTCATAAGCTTTTTGTAAAACATATCCATTCAGGCAAAGATAACCGACTTTCATTGCCTCTGTGGTATTGTCGATTATTTCTAAAGTACATTTAAGACCAATGTTTGCGACGTTATAAAAGAAAATCAGGATTAAGTCACGCTATGCACATGTCTAGGGTGTTGGATTACTAGCAGACCATCAATCTGTAGATATCAGATAGTCAGTTTTACTCTTTTTAAGACCAACAAGTTCGTTTTTTAATTAATCAAACCCTTACAGAAACTTTATCTACTGATGGTGTTTATTAAAGCAACACTAAAGTCACTCAGGCCTCTTCACCTCAATGCAGTGGTTGTTTTTTGGTTGTTTTTTGTTTTTTTTAGAAATTGTAAAACACAGTCACATTACATCAAAGACCCCATAGGAAAACATTGAACAAAATAAACCTGGCTGCTAGAAGAGCCATGGCACAAACCTGGCTGCAAACTGACATGCAATCGAAAGGGTCATCTGCAATATCAAGGAGACCCATCTCATGGATAAATTAACAGCACAAATCAGAGATACCTATCCACTAATTCTCAAAACATGGGAACCATGGGAAGACTATACTAACCGCTGACGGACAAACCGACGCAATATCAAATACTACTCAGTAAAACCAGTAATTGACCTTAAAAGTCGTCCACCCCACGCCAGCGGAACCAACAACCCATCCGAACTGGCCCGTCCGTTCCCCAGACCTGAATCCAATTGAGCACATCTGGGACATCATGTCTCGCTCCATCCACCAACGTCACATTGCACCACAGACTGTCCAGGAGTTGGCAGATGCTTTGGTCCAGCTCTGGGAGGAGATCCCTCAGGAGACCACCTGGCACCTCATCATGAGCATGCACAGGCATTGTAGGGAGGTCATACAGGCACATGGAGGCCACACACACTACTGAGCCTCATTTTGACTTGTTTTAAGGACATTACATCAAAGTTGGATCAGCCTGTAGTGTGTTTTTCCACTTTAATTTTGAGTGTGACACCAAATCCAAACCTCCATGGGTTGAAAAATTTGATTTACATTTTTTTATTTTTGTGTGATTTTGTGGTCAGCACCTTTAACTATGTAAAGATCAAAGTATTTCAGAAGAATATTTAATTCATTCAGATCTAGGATGTGTTATTTTTGTGTTCCCTTTTTTGTTTTTGAGCAGTGTATGTATGTATGCCTCATAATAAGTACTTGTACAACTGAATATGCATATACCCTGTTGCTGTAAACATTTGATATGCATGACTTGATAAATAAAGATTTAAAAAAAAAAAATGAGTAAAACTAAGAAGAATCTGAATTATTAAAATATCCCATTAATCCTAACCAGAACACAGTGCAAGATGTATAAATAATGGTACTCTAACATATTTTATGCTCACTTTAGCCATATTTCAGTCTCAGCTATTGCACAGTATATATAAATATGTCTGCAAGTGTTTAATACATGTCACCAAAAAAATCAGACTTTATATTCTAAATAAAGTTTGTATTCTCACATTGCAATTTTTAGTACACAGTGCAGAGCACATAACCATAACGGGATGAATGAGAATTCTGACAAAATTAAGCTCTTACTGAGATTCCATGCATTCCAAAGCTGTTTTGGCCCACCATACTTTGAGTACTTTTTCAAAGTAGATGGCGATGCTTTTTATATATAGGACACTAGTGCTTTTCTATGAGAAGCATTGGATTGACCTGAAAGAGATCCTTACTAGTGAGGATCACCCATAAGCACAGTAGAGCTGAAGTAAGGAGTCTCTTACCGCTGGATTCTAGGTAAGTAACTTCTATTCTAGGAGAACATATTCAACAATACAAAGGATTATTACTAACTAATAATAATGTGTGTCGCTTTAATTCTTTCCTATGGGTATGCAGAGCATGAGGACGTAGTTAGGTGACCAAAAATCAGTAAGCAACCAGGAAGTGCCTTTAGTGGCTGTCTGATTGCCACAAAATGCTGTCTTAGTCCTGCAATATAATTATTGCAGTTTCTCAAAAACTGCAATTATTTGCATTGCAGGACTAAGTGAAACTGGTGAATATAGTGTCCCTTTTAGGTGTAGACCCACTATCCGACTATCCTAAAATGGCTCTGTACATGGCTATGGAGGCTAACAGCTAACATCATATGGTCCTTTTATAGCTTGGCTAGGTGACATTGAAACATTCCACAACTTATACTTAGTTTTAGTTATCTCTACCTCATCACTACTTACTCGAGCCCCTGCATTCCCTTTATTTGAAGAGGGTCATTCATTTTCTTTTGAGGAGGGACATTCATTTTCATTTGAGGAGGACCATTCCTTTTCTTTTGAAGAGGACATTATTTTCATTTTGAAAAGACTATTGTGTCATGCATTTACCTAAGGTACCACAATACATACTTTAAGTTTGAATGTGAGAGAGCACCAGGTTATAGGTAGGCAATAAATGTTTCGGTTTATTTTTGTGCTCTTGTCACACATTCATTCTGAAAGTGCAGATACTAAGTACTTTGTCAAAAAGAGAAAATAGCGGAAGAGGACAAAAAGTTATTGTTAATACTGCCTATAAACCTAAAAATAAGAAACATTAGAAAATTTTGAAAATTAGAAATCACACAATTCAACCTTGATGATGACATAGCATTTCCAAATTTTAATAATAATAGTAATAATAATAATAATAAAGAAATGTTCATTTCATTTGTTTCAAGTTAATCTTGACCTCTATGATGACAAAAATAACAAACCAAAGCAAAACATACAACTACATAAACCAGTGAAATATGAATAAAATTGCAATAACTTAAAGCTGTTAGTACTTGTAAGTACTAATAGTGCCCAGTGGATAGGAGAAAGTGAAATTTGAACACATCTTCCAGTAATTCCAATATGATGATATAAGCAGTGCATTTCCTTGCAGAGATATTTTGAGCAACACATACATTAACATTATATTACCAAGCACCACGACCATCTGTGGGTGCCCTCTAATATGAGATCCATACAAACACTTGTTAGGAAATGGGTAGCTAGCTTCCAGCGGGCAAATAGTACTTTAAATTATCAAAGCCAGATGCATTTGGTTTATCATCGGCCACCATGATGTCATTGATAAATCTCCGATTCTGGTGCTGTAAATTGGTTTGGCTGAGAAAACACAGATTTTCCAAACTCATGCAACGGGAATGCCCATGGAACAGCGCAGTTAGGGGAATGGGCCTTGACAGGGCCAGAAAGAAGCATTTAAGTTTAACATGATTCTGGGCAGGAGTTATTAGTCTGATTGTGGGGGAGGGGGGGGTGTAAGGGGATATAGTGGCCATTTTAATCACAACCTACACTTACCTGTTAGTTGTCTGCAGGTCTGTGTGGGTTTCATGCTCTCAGGGTCAGCATGACAGGGAATGGAGTGAGCCAAGGCGGGAGCCCAGCAGGGAAC